AAATAATAATAAAACAAATAAAATAAAATGAGAAATCCTTAAAAATTATTTATGGAAAATGTATAATATGGAAAGCCTATACATAGGTTTATATATTTTAGCACCAAAATAAACTCATTAATTACATTTTCCTACAACCTTTTTGAAGAACTCTTAAGCTATGAAATAAATAAATATAATGAAATAAATATAAACAAATTCACAGAAACTCAAATCTAAATGAGCATGTAATTAACAATTCAAAAACCTCCGAAAGTTGAATCTATATTTACAAGACATATTTTTAGTTTGTTGGTAAACTGTTCATGCTACCTTCAAAACAAGTCTATATTTAGGCCTGGCTTCTTGCACTTTAAATTCATTTACATGAAGCAGTCAACAGTTCTAAAACTCAGACACTACCACTCCTCTCTACTTAGAATCATTCTTGGTGCGGTCAGTGGCACAGTTGCAACACACGAAGTGCTGCCCACTGGGGAAGGTCGCAGTCCGTGTCCCGGAGCTTCTCGGTGCACACCAGGACATGTGGGCCTGTGGTCTGGATCAGTTCTACCTGGGAGAGGGTATAAAGAACAGGGAGGGGGCATGCACGCTCCCTCTCTGTCTCTATCTGCCTTTCTCATTATGGAAGAAGCAAGTAGCTGAACTCTGAACATAAAACGCCCAGGGCCCGTCATCAACTTCACACCGAAAAGCAAACTCCACTGCACGGTCCCTGCAACCGGGCCTTGCTGTACTGGCCCCTACCCCGCCAACTCTATTCAGTGTCACACCTGAAAAGCGCCCTCCCTACACCCCAGGCCTGGGTCTCCTCTGCCTGTCTGCTTTTTACTGAGCTCCCTCCTCCTCACCATCCTGGGACCCTGTCCCATGAGCTGCCCACTACAGGAACCACTGTGTGGCTCTCCCAGCATCCACAGCCCAAATGGACACGTCTTGTAACAGGAGCACGTTTAATCTGACTGCCTTTCCTGCCCAATTTCATCTATCATATTCGGATCCATAATTTTAGTTTACCTTGGAGCCCTTGGCATCTAAAGCATTTCAGTCTCTCAGACACTGGACAAATATAAAGAAGGCTGCAATTTAGCAGTTAGGGTCAGCTTATCACAAGAGTGTAATGGGAAGCTAAGAAGGTGACTGTCATGAAATCATGCGAAAACTGGCGTGGGAACGCTTCCTGCCAGAGCCCTCAAAAACACAGCTTGTTTACGTGTAGGAGAATCCTCTGAGGGTGAGGGTGCCCTGAGTGGGAGAGGAGACTCACATCCAGCCCTGGGCGCTCCTCATGTCCCCAACCCACAGGCGAAGAGTGAGGGTCCACGGACGGACGCTGTGTCCTGATACCAGGGCTGCTGCTGACAGTGGAGGTTAGGAAGGCTGCACAGATTCGGGGGCGGGGGGGTGTGGAAGAGGAGGTTTCTCGGGCACCCTCAGTATCTTCATGACATTTTTACTAGACATACTTTTATTTCTAATAATATTGGCAAGTGTAAACCTACAGACAGGAAAACTGACTGCAGTTTTAGAGCCAGGGAATGAAGGCTCAGATCTCTTCGTCTGGGGGCAGCAGGGAGGCAGCTGAGGTGCTGGCTGAGGTCAGAAGACGCGGAGTGGAAACGGGACAGGAGTTGTAGATGCAGGCAGCATCAGCTCGTGGATACTGTGTGTTATGAAAACCGTGCATGGATTCCAGAAAACTTTCATTCCAAAATAAACTTAAATAAATATTCCCATGAAGTTTTCACAGTCTTTTGTATTAACTGTGACCTCAGGACCAGTGTGGAAGTGAGGGCTCTGCTTGTACTGCATAACTGCTCTGTCTGCCTCACGCAGGTGTTCACTGGTATACTCTGGCCTCCCTCCCCTCCGTCTTCCAGTCCTGTAAATATGTATTCAAAATGTGTATGTCTACGTGTATGTGTATCTACATCTGTGTGTGCATATGTGTCTGTGTACATGCGTGGTTACTGGAGGTTAATTTTACAGCTTAGTCTTTAGGGAACAGTACATTCAATACAATTTTGACTGCATTTGTTGAATACATACTACAACACAATGTCGAAAATGCGCTCTAACTTTCTTTTTATGCTGGGGAGAGTGAGAATTTCTTTACCTGCAAGAAATACGCATGCATTTTGTTAAATAAAGATGTAGAATCACCTTGCTGCTTTAAGGAGTTCACGTGCCTGTAGAAGGATGCATACGGATGTAACTGGCCCAGCGTCCTAGCTGGCTGAGTGAGCACCCCAGATCCTGGGAGGACCAGGAGGGGACAGGACCGTGGGGTGGCCGTGCGCCCGGAGAGTGTTTCTCACTTTCTCTTTCCTTCTCTCTTTTCTGTCTCTCTCTGCAAGCAGACATGGCCTGTCACAATATTTCTAAAATGAATAATAAATAAGTGGAGCCGACGTTCTGTGTTCTCGGTCCCTGGTGCACAGAAACGCGGCCGGGGGGACGAGCTTCCTACAGTGTCTGGGGAATGTCTGAAGGGCAGCCTGTGGTTTCTAGCAGAGTCTACGCTGTGGCCTTCCTAGCAGACGCTGCCCCGGGCAGATACCAAGGACACCCATACCTCGGCATGTCTGTCATCTTCCTGCAGCCCTGCTGACCTGCACACAGACCCAGTGTCACACAGGAGGCCTCGTGAGACCGGCAAACCCCGCAAGGCCAGCTCTCCTGCAGACTCACCTCTCCACGCTCGCTGGCCCTGAGCCCTGGAGTCTGGTCCGGCAGAGCCTGCATCAGCAGTCAGCCTGGCCCCAATACTGCTCAAGGACCCTGCCATGGCTCCTGCGGCCTTCACCCCTCTGCTCTGTTCAGACCAGCACCTGGGCCCTATGTGAGCAGAGCCCACCCTGCCACTCCGCCCTTCCTGGAGCTCTGCTGCCCCCAGACCCACACCCTCTAGCTGATGAACTGTCCCCTGTGCTGTGCTTGCCCCCCTCCGTCACTCACTCTGCAGTAAGCTCCCTCCTAACCCCGCTGTGCAGTTCCTGGCTCTGCCTGTACCGGGCTGCCCTAGCAGCTTTCCTGCCAAGTGCCTGGAGTCCATGACATGGTCACGCCTCTAAGTTAGACGGCAGCCCGCCACAGTGCTGCTCAAGTGGTGCTCCCAGGAAGGCTGAAGCCCCCGAGAAAGCTGGTACGAGTTTAGCTCAGTGTGAAAACTGGGTGCAGTGGTGGGAGCCTGTAGAACCAGCAAAATCCCATCTTAAGAGACTACACACCACACAAACACTCACAAATTGAGGAACTAAAGTGTGATCCAAGTACCTCAGTAAGGGAACCAGTATGTGTGTGTATGTGTGTCTGTGAGGCCAATGTCAGAGTCTGCAATACAGCACAGGGGGTATAAGGCTGACATGATATATATATATATATATATATATATCTAGGAACATGTTATCAGAGCATGAACTATAATTTTAAGTATTGTCTACATGCATTTTTCTCTTATAATTTCAATTAATTTGGGAAGTTGATGTTAGTAACAATTTACACATTAATAATTGGAAAAATACTCCATATCGGAGCAAAAGAAAAAAATTACTGCTGTCATTTAGATTTTTCAATCAGTCCTTGGCCTGAATTGAATGATCTACATTTTAATATAATTATAAATTAATGACTATAATTAAATCTCTTTTAGTAAATCCAAGAGAATTATGGTTACACATAGATATTATAAATTCAGTATCCTGATCTGATCTAGACAACTAAAATCGTACAGCTTTGTCCTGCTCGGTTGTTATAGAAATCGCTAGGATGACTTACTCTTTTCTCTGTTTTGTTCTCCAACGCACAGGGTGGGGATGTGTGTGCTGCAGTCACTATTCCTTCCATAAATGGATCAGCCTGAAGGAAGTGTGGCCACCATGAGTGCACTTACTGCTCCCCGGCAGGCTCTTCATTTCAAGGGGCATGGACGGCCTTTCCTGTAGGCAAGTTACAGTCAAAACAGCATTTTCCGAAAGCACTACTGTGGGTAACTGTGGACATCAGTCGGTCACTTGCTCTGCATGCAGCGCAGGATTCTCTGTACAGTAATACAACGGTGAGAAATACATTGCAGGGGTTCGTGTAGTTCCATAAACCCTGCTCCTTCTTGGTGAGCAGAAATGTGGAGACGATTTACCCATTTTAGAAACTGAACATTCTATCTGGGTGTTTTCCAATTTCTCTCTCTCTCTTCTCTCATAAGCACATTCTTGCAAATTTAAAACAAAATTAATATTTTTGTGATGGAAAAAATTAAAGGAGTAATTTTATAACATCACCTGGGTTTAAGCTACAGAACTATATTCCAAGAATCTACATGAATAACATGTCACCAAAAACCATCAAATAAATATACAAAAAGCCAGTGCATCAACTCTTCTTCCTAGGTGAGTTTAAAGAGCCTCAGTAAAACTTTACCTTGGGGGAAAAGTTCAGTTTGCTGCTAGACTACATGTCACAAAATCCTTTCTATTTCTAAAGAATGTCTAATGTTGGGACCAGCAGGTGACATGGTGGTTAAGGTGCTAGACTCCTACATGCCTGACCACAGTTCAAACCAAGGACCTGGACGCTTCCTTTCTGACTTTACCTCTCTCTCTCTCTGTCCCTTTCTAGTGAATACACATGCCCTATGGGAAATTAAAAACAACAGTATTAATAAATAAAGTTAAATAAATAATTTTTAAAAACCTATAATGTCGTTATTGAAAATACCTTACAGTATACTCACAGCTTAATTGAATAAGAAATCATAAATATTTGAATGACTTCTGTGAAATAGAATTATTGGGTTATGAGATGTCATGAAGTATTTTTCCTTTTTCTATGCAAAAATGCATCATCATTTTTCTGACAACTGAATATGTTGTTGTCAATAAATAAGACATAAGAAATATATGTACATAATGAATACTATTTTTAAGATGGGATAGAAAACAAGAAGAGTATTAAAGGAGGGGAACCGAGCAGGCTAGAAAGCATGGAGTTGATTAGGCCACTCAATCTCCACTCTTGCCTTTCCCCAACACCTTCATGAATGCTCTGGCCACATCCTTGTTGCGGAGGCTGTAGATGAGGGGGTTCAGCATGGGCGTGAGGATGGTGTAGAAGGCAGACACCACCTTCTCCTGTGCTGGAGAACGACCTGAGGTGGGTCGCATGTACATGAACAAACCTGCTCCGTAGTACATGGCCACCACCATGAGGTGAGAGGAGCAGGTGGAGAAAGCTTTGCGGCGACTCTCCCCAGATCCCATGTGGACCACAGCTAGAATAACACGGGCATACGAAGCAATGATTATGCCTACAGGAATAACTATCATTAATATACAGCAGATGAAAAGAATCTCTTCGAATGTTGTTGTGTCACTGCATGAATGCATCAGTAGGGAAGGGAAGTCACAGAAGAAATGGGCTATTTCCCGGGATCCACAGTAGGAGAAGGAAAATGTAGCTACAACATCGATGACACCATCTGTAGAGCCCAGAATCCAGGAGGAGGCGGCCAGGAGTCCGCAGATCTTGGGGCTCATAAGATCAGTGTATCTTAAAGGGCGACAAATGGCAATGTAGCGGTCATAAGCCATGACAGCCAACAGAAAGCATTCAGAGCCAAGTAACGATATGTAGAAGAAAATCTGTGTGGCACAACCAGTCACCGAGATGGCCTTGCTTCCAGACAAGTAGTTGGCGGCCATCTTGGGCACCGTGGTGCAGACGAGCATGAGGTCCATGAGTGAGAGCTGGCCCAGCAGGACGTACATGGGGGTGTGCAGACGGGTGTCCACACAGATGAGGAGCAGCATCGCCGAGTTCCCCAGGACGGCCACTGAGAATATGCCCAGGACCAGAGAGAAGAAGAAGGTGTGGGCAGGGCTGTGGTCGAAGATCCCCAGCAGGATGAAGTCAGAGCTGAAGGTCTGATTCTCCCAGGCCATGGTGAATATAGTTTCTGTCTATTACCAGAAGAGGTGAAACCAGCTTATTAATTTAGGAAGCAAATAACCAATGCTTTATAAAGCATGTGGTTCTGGTAAATTCTGAAGTCAAGATGAGTACAGCATTACCAGGATTAGGAGCTAGAATACAAGAGGTATAGCATTGGACAGATTGTGTTTTCTTGGTACTCACTTATGAACTTGTAGGGTTTGTCCCCACCTCTGCTCCTGACCATATTTTTTTTAATTGAAATTATTAGTATACCATGTGGAACAGTCTGTGATTGACAGAATTTTAATGAAAGAAATATGTCTCTAATTTAATAACCAGAAAAGAATATGTCTCAAAAGTAATGAGCACTGGAAACACCAAAGCCTTTTACAGATCAATTGGTTAAAAAAAATTCAACTTCAAGGAGCATGGGGCAAACACGATACCGAGACTGAGAACGAGGTCTGTGCCAGGCTGACATACTTCACCTCTCCGCACAGAGAAGTCGGCAGCACGCGACCCGTGACACCCTGCTCATGGTCACAGCCACAGCAACCCAGTAATCGTCGGAATCACGGCCAGACATTGAGAGATCGGAATCACGGCCAGACATTGAGGGGGGGTGGTGTCACTGACTGAGGTCATGGGAAAGACACCGTGAGGGCTGGAACTGCGATGATGAAGCGAAGCAGGACGTGAGTGACGTGAGGTTGCGTATGATCACCCGTGCCTGCTGCACCGGTTCCACCCTTTGTAACAGGAATGATCAGGAACAGGACAAAGCAAAGAGCAAACTCCTCATGCTGGGAAAGCGAGCACAGCAGCCCCATTTCTGACAGAAAATGCACCCCGAACATGCTCCGGCAGCGGGGTCTGTGACAGCTACGAGCAAGGCACTGAGGGTCTCGTGGACTGAGCACTGGATGGACACGAGGTCCCCAGAGGGACATGGCATAGATCCCATTACATGCAGTCTAAACTCACACGTGAGAGAGCATTTCAGAACTGTGTGAATACAGGGAGAACGTCACCTACAGCATGGCCCAGAGGGGTTACTGGATCAGAGAGAGTCTGTGTATCTAACAAACTCGTGGCAAATTAACTTTGTGTGTACTGGACATTTCGTAGAACAGTTACAAATATATGGGGTCATTGGAAAAGCCATGACACATTTTTGGATAGAAAATCATAGAAAAATAATTCATGACTTTTCTGAAAAACCAATATATAAAGGTCTTAGACGAGCTCAAGGCAACTGCAAATCAACTGTTAATATCAGTTTTTTCTAATTAATTTTTTATTTGCATTTAATCACTGTACATCTTTGTAGTGTATGACATGGCTTTTCGAAGAAAGAATGCAGCGCGTATTAGTCAAGTCAAAGGCCTTACCCTGTGTCTTATCATCAATAGGTAACTGAGCTGCGACTACGAAGAGATGCGAGTGTGACCCAAACCTGCCTTCTAAGTCACTGGGGTATGCCCTCCTCTCCTCGGCCACCTTTCTCCTCCTGACTCTCATCCACCCCAGTTTCCTTCTCAAATCCAGAATACCAGGACACGAAAAAGAGAAAACTAGTTCATTGCATTGTTCCCACTGATGAGCTGGGCAGGTAACAATTATAACTCGGTCAGCTTCAGGTCTCTTAGCACTAAAAGGAGAGTCCTACTACATTCTCCAAACTAATATTGTGCAGATAAAAGTGAAAGTATGTTTCTAAATATTTTAGCATAAAGGACACTTAAGATAAAAATCAGTCAGCAGTGCGATCATGCAAAATTTGGCAGGAGCTCCCCCAGACTCACCTGGCTCTGTCCCCTACCTCTCGGTAGAGCACAGCTAATATGTATTTCCAATGCGAGCATAGGTTCTTGGAAAGGCAAAAGATGTATCTTGCATCATCATCAAAAAAATGTAGCAACACCTCACATAACTGGAATCTTTATTTGTATTGACAAATGAATGGAAAGACAAAAACTTAGAATGTTGGCCCAGAGAGGGCTCCAGTCCCTTGTCTTTAATTATAAGTGTGTATCATCTTCATCTTCTCTCCTAGGACGAGAGCCAGAAATAGCTTCATTTCCTCAAAAGTGCTTCCTAGAGGGAGGATCACTGGGACCCTTCCTGGCACGTTAGTGTGAACTTTCTGCTCCCTCTCACCGACACCACAGTGAGGAAAGGGTGATTGCCTCTGGGCACACTAGCATGTGAACACAGAGCGCGTGCACACCTTGTACGTGTCAGCACTCCTACCATCACGGCAGTTTCTCCACTGCTTTCCTCCTCGAGGAGACCGAGGACAGAGGCTTCAGAACCTCGCCCGAGTCACAGGGCCGGGGAGTGGCAGACAGGGCCCTGGGACGCGGCGTCGATGGCCTCTGCCTTAGTTTCTCTCTTCCTTGGGCTCCATCCCTTATGACGTTGGGCATAATTGGCATTTTGAATATCTTGAGGTTCTCGACACAATTCTCTTTTCTACTTGTTTTCGCTGGTATATAAAAATCTGTTGACCATTGTATATAGATTTCAAATCTAAAAATGTCTCTTTGTGCTCTTGTATTTTTTATTTACTTTTTTTTGGTAGAAGTTTTTGCTATAGGGCGTGTGCACTTGCTAGAAAGACAGAGAGAGACAGAGAGACAGAAAGCGAGAAATCACCCCCCAGGTGTTTTCCACGACGCAATCCCTTCTGCTCCATTCTCCTCTCAAGATTTTGGGCACACACGTTCACATGATCAGTGTGAGTTTCAAGCCACTGGGTCCAGGAACAGGACCAGCAGTTGGCATAATGGCCATGTCGCTGGACTTCCATGTAGTCGACTGTGGTTCGAGTCTTGGACCCGGTGGCTTAAACTCACGCCAGGTACGTGTGCAAGATCCTGAGAGGAGAAGGGATCGCAGTGTGGCCATCCCACCAGGGCGTTATTTTTCACTTTCTGTCTGTCTGTCTCTCTGTCTTTCTGGCGAGTGCACATGCCCTATAGCAAAAACTTCTTTAAAAAAATCAAAAGAGAATTGTGTCGAGAACCTCAAGATATTCAAAATGCCAATTATGCCCAACGTCATAAGGGATGGAGCCCAAGGAAGAGAGAAACTAAGGCAGAGGCCAACGACGCCGCGTCCCAGGGCCCTGTCTGTCCCCCGGGGCCCTGTCTGCCACTCCCCGGCCCTGTGACTCGGGCGAGGTTCTGAAGCCTCTGTCCTCGGTCTCCTCGAGGAGGAAAGCAGTAGAGAAACTGCCGTGATGGTAGGAGTGCTGACACGTACAAGGTGTGCACGCGCTCTGTGTTCACATGCTAGTGTGCCCAGAGGCAATCACCCTTTCCTCACTGTGGTGTCGGTGAGAGGGAGCAGAAAGTTCACACTAACGTGCCAGGAAGGGTCCCAGTGATCCTCCCTCTAGGAAGCACTTTTGAGGAAATGAAGCTATTTCTGGCTCTCGTCCTAGGAGAGAAGATGAAGATGATACACACTTATAATTAAAGACAAGGGACTGGAGCCCTCTCTGGGCCAACATTCTAAGTTTTTGTCTTTCCATTCATTTGTCAATACAAATAAAGATTCCAGTTATGTGAGGTGTTGCTACATTTTTTTGATGATGATGCAAGATACATCTTTTGCCTTTCCAAGAACCTATGCTCGCATTGGAAATACATATTAGCTGTGCTCTACCGAGAGGTAGGGGACAGAGCCAGGTGAGTCTGGGGGAGCTCCTGCCAAATTTTGCATGATCGCACTGCTGACTGATTTTTATCTTAAGTGACCTTTATGCTAAAATATTTAGAAACATACTTTCACTTTTATCTGCACAATATTAGTTTGGAGAATGTAGTAGGACTCTCCTTTTAGTGCTAAGAGACCTGAAGCTGACCGAGTTATAATTGTTACCTGCCCAGCTCATCAGTGGGAACAATGCAATGAACTAGTTTTCTCTTTTTCGTGTCCTGGTATTCTGGATTTGAGAAGGAAACTGGGGTGGATGAGAGTCAGGAGGAGAAAGGTGGCCGAGGAGAGGAGGGCATACCCCAGTGACTTAGAAGGCAGGTTTGGGTCACACTCGCATCTCTTCGTAGTCGCAGCTCAGTTACCTATTGATGATAAGACACAGGGTAAGGCCTTTGACTTGACTAATACGCGCTGCATTCTTTCTTCGAAAAGCCATGTCATACACTACAAAGATGTACAGTGATTAAATGCAAATAAAAAATTAATTAGAAAAAACTGATATTAACAGTTGATTTGCAGTTGCCTTGAGCTCGTCTAAGACCTTTATATATTGGTTTTTCAGAAAAGTCATGAATTATTTTTCTATGATTTTCTATCCAAAAATGTGTCATGGCTTTTCCAATGACCCCATATATTTGTAACTGTTCTACGAAATGTCCAGTACACACAAAGTTAATTTGCCACGAGTTTGTTAGATACACAGACTCTCTCTGATCCAGTAACCCCTCTGGGCCATGCTGTAGGTGACGTTCTCCCTGTATTCACACAGTTCTGAAATGCTCTCTCACGTGTGAGTTTAGACTGCATGTAATGGGATCTATGCCATGTCCCTCTGGGGACCTCGTGTCCATCCAGTGCTCAGTCCATGAGACCCTCAGTGCCTTGCTCATAGCTGTCACAGACTCCGCTGCCGGAGCACGTTCGGGGTGCATTTGCTGTCAGAAATGGGGCTGCTGTGCTCGCTTTCCCAGCATGAGGAGTTTGCTCTTTGCTTTGTCCTGTTCCTGATCATTCCTGTTACAAAGGGTGGAACCGGTGCAGCAGGCACGGGTGATCATACGCAACCTCACATCACTCACGTCCTGCTTCGCTTCATCATCGCAGTTCCAGCCCTCACGGTGTCTTTCCCATGACCTCAGTCAGTGACACCACCCCCCCTCAATGTCTGGCCGTGATTCCGATGATTATGGGGTTTCTGTGGCCTTGACCATGAGCAGGATGTCACGGGTCATAAGAGCTGATAAGTCTTCTTGGAGGAGAGATGAGGTCGAGACATTGAACA